AGTTCACATACATTTTTATGTTATTTCTCTTTGTGCGATTGTGTTCTGATCAGTTAAATGATAAATAAAGTGCTTTCCTATAAAACATACATCTGAAAAGCTAAAACCTATAAATGGAAACAAATATCGTATTATTCCTGTAGTATGTTAAATAAATATTGAAACATGTGTTCGACCCGGAGCTGCAATGTATTGAATACGTGGTCGCATTCCAAGATGAGACAAATCGGAAGATACTTGTGTAGATAAACGTAATTCTAATAGTTGCTGATTGCACGTTTACTTCTCAGAGTTAAGTAGTAATTTTAAATGTACTTCTAATGCTAATGATTACTTTAGAAAGGTTTATTTTTCATTCAATCAATATTTCAATTATTTTTTTATTCATTTCTTATTTGAACCTGAAAGGGTATACTCAGTTATATTATTTATAATTTTGACTCCCTGCGAAATGTTTTCCTAATTATTTCTACCACATTTGGCCTTTCAAACCGAATTCAAAAAGATAAACATTATAAAATGTATCCTTTTTTAAGCCAAAATATAAAAAGAGAATGAATCAAAAAATTCAAACATATTTGAATAATTCCAAGAACAAAATTATATAAAGATATTTAATTCAGTAAGTTATAACAAAAATAGTCTCTAATTTGTCTAACAATAACATAAATCCAGCTCTTACACTAACTCAGGACATGGTCCATAAAGTTCTCTAAAAGACGGAAGATCTAGATGTAGGTCTCAAACGAACCTTAATTTATGTCCTCTGGGAAAATTCTGATGTTAGATCTTTTCCTACGTGAGGTTTTCGAAAATAAGTATAAAATATATATTACTTATGTAACATTATAGTCATAATAAGCTCTCTAAATGGTCAAATTTATACTCTAAATATATTAACAAAAAAATGACGTTTTTCTGATCGAACGAAAGCTTAAATTGTCAAATTTGTGATCTTTACACGCTATATATGAGAAATTTAATTGGGAAATCATATCACAAATATATTTTATTGCACATTAAATGTTCTTTATCTTAAACTAAAATAACTTACCTGACATTTTCATGTATTTGAATTTCTGTGTGAATATTGAATATAGGCTTATATTAAAATAAATACAATTTATCGAAGGTTCTGTTTACAAAATAGTTATTTTCAATTATTCTTTAAACAGGAGAAAATTTTTATTTAGTTCTTGAAGTCGTAATAATATTGTAGTCAAAAGTTTATTGAAGGTTTTATATTCTCAAATTAATTTGTAATCAAAATTTTTAACTCAATTAAAAATGTGGTCTACATAATAAATCAATTTATACTCTCATTCTGAAATTCCCTTGTTCATTGTTATAATATTTTGGAATCAGCTTCACGTATTAAGTTATATAAACTCTATTACAAGAAAAACAATGTAATAACACATTTATCAAGCTCTATTTATTAACAGCTAGTATTTATTTAAATGTATCTATAAATGTTTATCTTCGTCGCTTAAACTCGATTATATCTTTCTCAGTACTGCTCTAGGGAACGCAAGACAGTGAGATAGCGACTGCAGAAACTATGAACAAATTGACTTTGATAAATGATTCTATTTGGTTAACATCCGAATTCTAGTGGTGATAACTTTGTGCAGTTTCATGCTGTATTTTACTTTTCTACTGAGTTTGGGAGAATAGATTGTTGTCTTATAACTAAATCTTTATTACGTTAAACTTGTTTTTGTTAAACCCCATTTCATTATAGGGATTTTCCTCGCCAATAAGGTTCTAACAAAAATTTTTTAGGTAATGTTTTATCAACATTTTTACATATTTTTAATAACTAGTAAATAAAAGCTGTATTTAAGAATTAGATTTTCCCCTCCTTGACACTCAATAGAGAAATTCGTTTACTTTCCTTTTCACAGAATATCATTATACGTAAGCTTGATTCGAATTGACGGACCGAAAGCTATTACTCTTACACATTTAGAAGAGTATAACTTACTTTACGAGGCATACTTAATACAGGAGATCAATAGTGACTTTACTTTTTTTAAATTCTTTAAATTCAGATCTTCTACCAAGATTTAGATAACAGTAGCGTAGGTATTATTTTAGATTGGGAGGTACCTGTTTAGGATACAAAGGGAGGAAACGCCCGGGTGTCAACATTGCGATGACCAACCAGAGGACACGGTGGAGCATACGGTGGCGGACTGCCCAGCTTGGGTTGAGCATCGCCGTGTTCTTAGGGAAACCATCGGCGGCGGCGACCTCTAGCGTCCGACCTTAGTTCAGGCCATGGTGCGGAGCAAGAGGAACTGGGAAGCAGTCTCCTCCTTCTGCGAAGCAGTCATGCTATCTAAGGAGTAGGCGGAGCGCGTGAGGGAACGATCCTCCTCACGCCCCAGCCGCCGCTCAGGCGTTGGGGATCCCGAGATGATCTCCAGCCATCGTAAGCGCGGGTCTGCGGACGGCAAGCAAGGGTAGCTTGCCGCCCGATCAGAACCAGACCCGAGCGTACGGCGCGTAGCATACCGCGCGCGCCTCACAGAGCTATCAGACCAACACAGATGGGGCCCTAGAGCCGATGCCTGGCCAGGACGCGGGTGTAAGCGTCTGACACTCCTAGGACAAGAGGGGTCATTTGATGATTTTCCCCTTAAAAAAAAGGTATTATTTTAGAAGTAGGACGATGAAATAATAACAACATTTTTTTTTAACATAACTCGGGTAGCAAAAGTCTTTTTTATTAATGAGATTATGTGATTTATGATTGTTCGTTTACTTTGCAATTAAATTACTAAAAATATTTAAATGTTAATAATATTACATAATTTTTTCCATTTCTATATTATTTTTGTCATCACACACTTATCATCTGTTAAAGGAAAAGAAAAGTTAAAAAATATGTCTTCATTTCTCTTCGATTTATTAACTTAGTCTTTAAACACCCTCAGGTTTTAAGACAATCAAAAATTAAATAAGCTATATAAATTATTTTATGTATATCTGAAACTAAATTTAGTAACTGAATCTGAGAATATATCACATCAAAATTTCCTTACATTTTATAGTTAGAAATTTAATTTTTAAGGGTGTGAATTTTTTTATACGTGAACGTCTACGTCATCAACCTATCAGAAACCCACTGCTGAGCAAGGCCTCTTTCTCACATGGAGAAGGTTTGAGCATTAATCACCACGCTTGGTCAAGACAGGTTGGTGATTTCAAACTTATAATTGTGAAATTATAAGTCCAGGTTTCCTCACGATGTTTTCCTTCACCGTATGTTAGTGGTGTCTTAATACTCTCAGAAAGTACATATGACTCCGAAAAATTACATTGGTACTTGCCAGGTTTAAACCCGCGCCCTCGGCAACGAGAGGCGGGCCCTTCAACCACTAGACCACCGCTGACTAACGTGAACGTGAACGTGAACGTCTACATTATTTGAATTACAAAAATACTAATTGCTTGTATTAATAACATGAAACTAATAAAAAAATTATACAGTGTTTTCAACAATGATATTATTAATATTTATTCTATAGATTAATATTGAATAAATATAATGAGTAAATAAAGTTAATTTGAATGTAACTCTATATGTTATTATTTGATTAATTCATTTTAATTTCATATTTGCTTCCATATTTTAGTATTTGTTCAAAATATGATTGATTACTATATATTTGTTTGTTTAAATGTTTTCAAAAGTATTTACTATAATATAAAATTCCGTCGGGAACTTTTCATGTATGCATGAAAATTAAAAATGGAAAATTAATATAATTGAAAAAGTACTGCTTGTAAATTTTATATTATAATAACAAAAAGCCTAGAATTTTGTTTTAAGAACTAAAAAAGTCATGTCACGTCCAAACCGTTTAGACCCAAATCATTCAGATTTGTAATGCGTAATCTCCCAGCATTTCTACAATCTCATTCCCAAAATATTCTACGAGTTTTTTTGTTCTGAATGTGTTTTGCTTCACTTTTTCCATTTTCCAGCTGTCCTATTAGTCTGTTTTTCTCATTTTCGAATATAAGACAAGACGTTTTTATTTTGCTTACAAGAAAATATCAGTTTCTTAGAAACGTGAATATGTTGTTTTGAAATAACTATGTTGTATACCAGTATCCAAGGGCTATTTATAATTCTAAGGATTCTTTACTGTATCTTAAATTATGTTTTATTTTATTCGTTTTCATATCTATTTTAGGTTACCATTGAGATCTTTATTTTTACTGATTAACTTCTATATTTAAAAAAATGTTCTTTGAAATCAAAATCTGTATTTAAAAATCATGTTATAACCTGACTTGGCGACATTGTTTTAATCACACCTTGTAAGTTATTAATGAATCCACTCAAGTCGCTTTTGAGTTAATACTCTTAGTACTTTAAGTAGTTATTTATTGATGGCAGTAATAGTTGTTTAACAACTAGTCATTAACACGTCATGGTTAAGTTTAAAATTGCTTATATATTTAAATTTTATATAGGCTAAAGACTTTGTAGAGAAAATTATTGATGTTTAAATATTATTTGAAACCTAAAATCATTTTAATTTTATCATTTAATTTAATTTCAAAAAGGCTAATTGTTTTCATTTGAACTTATGTATATATTATTCAATAAAAGGTTTCAAATGTTTGTAAAATTTTTATTGTTCCTTGCGTCAAAGTTAAAGCAATCATGATTGATTTAGAGTCTTACATTATATTAACTATTTACAGTAACATATATATTATTTTACTAACTTAGATAAAATATGCACATAGTAATAAAATACATGTAAGAAACAAGCGTTGATATGTTTACAAAAATTTAAATTTCATTTATTTTTCGTTATAATAAGTTTTCATTCAATAATAAAATTAAAATATTAATTAATATAGTATTTTTAAAATTATAATTACAATTTTTTTAATTATATGCAATTACTAAATTGTTAAAGTTTTAAAAATTGTCTAATACTCTATAGATTAACTGGTTACACTATTATAATTTTCTAAAGGGCGGTGAATTCAGTAGAAAACTTTGACATAGGACTTGCTATAGATTCTTTTAAATTCTTATCGCCTTTAGCTCCTGGCAAAGACCAAGTTGAACTGCCAGTAGCTGTTACTCTCGGGCCCATATTATCATATGGTGATTTCAAGAAGCAAGTTCTACTACGTCTTGGTAAGGTTGAGCCGCCACCGAGAAGGTCCGGATATTCCTTATTGTGTCCGGTAACTTGTACCGATATAAAAATATTACCATAAGGGGCTGGTATAGCAAATTCTGCTGGAGGAGGTGGAAATGGTCCAGAAGGTCCTTCTATAGTTATCTGAACCGGTTCTAAGCATCTTTGAGTGTCTTCACTTTCCATGGACATGGACCTATCAAACATTTCGAAACCGTAGGAAGATCCCATCTCCGCGCTCGTTCGGTCACAACTTACAGCTAATGATGTATCTAATAGCTTTTTTTCTTGATCTGTAAAGCTTCTACTAGGAGGTACTCTTCGGCGTTTTATTTTCCAACAAAAACATGCGGCTAAAAATCCAGTAAAAGCCATTGCAAATACTGCACCGATGGCTATAAAAAACTTTGTATAATCAGGTGCACTGCGAGCAGTAGCAGTTCTTGCTTTAGGTAGAAATAAAGTTAAATATGCATTAGCTTCTCCTGCGGGACTTTTTGCACTACACCGCCACTCGCCGGCCAAGTCACTGGTAACGTTACTTATTGATACATTAAACCATTGTGAACTTTTATTTATAAAGTCATCAATGTATTCATCAAAGTGTCCAAAACTATGTTTATAGATAAAAACTTCACTATCACTATATGTTTTATTAACTATTTCAGAATGACGAAAGGACCACGTCACTGTCGGTTTTGGGTCACCCCGGACAAAGCAACCAAAATTTATATCCGCTCCAGTCTCAGTCCTTATTACAGACGGACTAGATAAAGCTGAGGGCGGACAAACCATGTCACCTTCATTGATGTCCAACCATGACATGTGTGCCTTTTTCTCTGGTCCAGTACAAAATACCTCTTCGTTACCAAGATTACTTCTAACAAACCACTTATGGAACTCTCTAAGCCTACAATCACAAAACCACGGATTGTCTGACAACATTAAAGTTTTTAACAAGGGTAAGTTGAATGTATCATGATGAAGATATGAAAGTAAGTTTTGATGTACGTGTACAGTTTCTAGAGCCCGCAGGTTGACAAAGGCAAAGGGATGAACTTTGCGAAGTCGACATCTCGAAAGTTCTAGTTTCTTTAAATGTTGCAATGGCGGGAATTGCTCTGCGGCTAATTTACTCAACGGGTTGTCATTAAGTACGAGTAGCCTTAGTCGCTCGTTTCCTTTAAAAATGTCAGGTGAAAGTTCTGTTAGGTAATTTCTTGACAGGTCTAATTCGATTAAAATGCGCAGTTCTCTGAAAGCATCTTGATGCAAGTACTTCAAGTTTGTTAAACTCAGATTCAATCTTTGTAAATTTAATAATTCTATTTTTGCAAAAGCATCTTCCTGGAGTTCTAATAAGGTATTTCCGTGTAAATCTAGTACTTGTATATCTGAGGCCAGGTGTGGTAGTTTTGTTAGTCCGGCTGAAACGCATGATGCCGTTTTTTTTCCTGATGACCATTTGCAATTGCAGCTTGTGATATTTCCACAATTTAGCCAATCGCTCTCTGAGGGATTCACTAGAACTGCAAACAAGATTCCCCAACATAGTTCACGAATGCCCATTTCATATCAGTTGATTTACCTGAAACAATAAAATTAATTGAAATTATTTACATAGACAACTTATATTATGCAATTATTTTACAAATGCGCTATTTTTTAAAAGCAACATAATAGTATATTCACTTATGTTAATTCAAATAATTACATAAAGATAGCTATGTTTTGTTTTATACGTCAGGCTAAATTATTGCGAGACTTAATTTATTAGGATTTTTTTATAACTTGGGAATATTTATCATCAAGAATAAAATGCAAAGTTAGTACTTTAGTATATTTTTTAATTTAAATGATAATATTTCTGTATCATGAAACATAAAACCATTTTTAAATTCGTCCATACACTTACATAGTATTAACCAAATGTTTGTATACCATGAAAATGAAATAATACACATGTAGTATAGTATGTATAAATAATCTATTTGATGTCGTAACAAAAAATATTATGGATAACCACCGTTATATTCAGGAAAATGCTACTCATTAATAGGTTATTGTTTGTATTTGGGCAACTATTTTTACTTTTTATTTTATTGGTTTCATTCATTCTTATGATTTTCAATACAGAATTTTTTATACGTTGTTAGAACTTCTTAGTTTTTCTCCATGGTCATGAGATATATGTATTGCACTATTTAAGTTGGATTTAAACATCAGAATGGCTACACTAGACACTTAAATCCAACGTCACAGTAAGTTTGTGCTGACTTTCGTAACATCCACAAAGCTTCATAAGTAGAAAACGTGAGTTGCTACCTACTTAGACACGTCACTTATTTTTGTGGGAAAGCTAAACCATTGTTGTTGTTTTTATTTATTTATACATAAGCAACAGCAATTACTCAGTATCTGAATCTTTCATCCCCCCAACGTGGTCATCGTGACTACCTTTGGCCCCATTTATAAACAAAATGGAACATTTCACTCCCTTGTCCAATTCCGTAATGTTAAATACAAGAAGGTACAATAATATTACATGTTAAAACATTGCCATAACATGTTATGTTATAAAAAATAATGAAGAAATCGAAAGAACCCTTTTTTATTTCTTGTCAACTTTTTTAAACACACTTTTAGTTTTTATATATTATGATATCTACTGTTACATGTTATAAAAATAAGAGTTAAATAAAAACAAAATTTCATAAGTAAGTGAAGAGTGAAGGTTACAAAAGATTTATTAAATTAAATGATAAATATAATCTAATGTTACTATAGTGTTTTATATATCAAACTCGGCAAACGATAAGATGGCCTACTTATTGAAAGGAAGTCACCGTCACCCATGAATGTCTGCAGAATAAGGGATGTTGCGGTTGCATTGTCAACCTTGATTGTGGACAAGGGACTTAGAGGGAGAGGAAAAGGTGGGAAAAGAAGAACGACAGGAAAGAGGGTGAAAAGGGAAAGGGCACTTTGCTCTCTCACTCATCGGACGAAACGCAACAGTTAGATTACTTTACGCCTATTTTTGTGAGAGGGTGCTACTTCCTCGTCGACAAAGGTCATGTTAGAGCTGTAGTAACTTGACTACAGCTAGGTTCTATGACCTCCAAAAAGCTATTCTTGTAGCTATTTTCAGTGAATTTTTGTATTTTTTTTAATAATCACGTTAAACTTATTCAAAACTATGTAAGTATTGTGACGAAAAATCTTTTTCATACATTTTTCTACTCATAATATACGAAGTGTGAAAGGTATTTGGATGTGAGAATAGTTTATCAACTAATTTCTTTGACATGGTTTCTATGGTCCAGTAAAGTTAATTTCCTTTCCCAAATGTAAAAGGTTTCTACATACGTATCAACTCGTTAACATAAATGGGTTCAGTACTATCTGGAGAGCGTGTTGAATAGCCGGAAGTTATATTTTGTTGGCCAAAGTGTATCTGGTTCTAAAGTTGTGTCATTAAAGTCCTGTTTTCAAATATAGTTAGGTATAAACCAACTAAGGCGCCCTCAGGGAAAGGAAAGTCGACGTTCTATCTATCCGGTATCTATCGGGAACAAAAGAAACTTATATTACCGACAGTCCTGCCGTCACAAAGGTAAAAATTGTTTGCCAATACATTGCTTTGAATGACTGAGATTCAGTATTTTGATTTATCAAGTATTTGCAATTCCTTTTATTGATAATATTGAAGTTGCACAATGCACATATAATAAACCTACTTTTCTTTTCAATTCTATGTCTTCCTACTTATTAAGATTTTAATTTTACTAAAAAAGCATATTATTATTCCTTTTGCTATAAATTAAATATAAGATAATTACGTTTGCTCACGAAGGATGGTTTTTGTGGTTTACAGTATTTTACAAGCCTTTGATGCCTACTTTAATTAAAATTTAACATATTTATATGATATTAGTAACTTATTTTTGCTTTGTAAAAATATTTCTTTTATAATTTACAAATGTTTTCAATATAAATTTACACACGGTTAGCACTTTTAACAGGATTTTTTGAAAGATTGTGGAAATAGTGAACTTTATTTCTATAACATATCGAGATATACATACTTATAAAATGAAAATTCATCATAACACGTAATATGTGTTTGTAAATACATATATATTTAAAAGTATTCGCGTACTGTTTAAGATAAAGCTAAATGCTTAATGATGATTTATTATAAAATGTTGTAGAACGTTGCATTTTAATGCAATATTGTTGTAATTTCAGTGTAGACACTAACTAATTTCATTAATGCGTGGTTAGGAGCGGACGGTGTGATATATATTTTGAGGGTGACGGGTCGCGCAATTAGGCTGCCATGAGACGTGACAATCCGCTTATTATAATTACAGTTGGTCAACATATTATACACAGTGCATTATATCAGAGTATGTTATTTTGTTCATTATTTCAACATATTTCAAAGTTGATAATCATTTTATAAAACGAACTACACGATGTGTGTATAAATAGTTTTATTCCATTTTAATATGTTCTCAAGTTTATTGCTAATTAAATGCAATCATAAGAGCATATAATGTTACATGAAATCACATTTTTTATAATTTATTGGAGAAGTATAATAAATAGCTCGGATGTATGCTTTTATGAAGTGTGTCCTTAATTATAAGTGGAATATAAATATATGGGATGAGTTCTTATCAAGAAAAATGTTGGATGATTATATGAAATACCTACATTGGTTTTAATACAATTATTATGATTTTGCACAGTTTTTTAAATCACATTTAAAGGTTGTAGTAAATTTTGTTATATAATTAAATATAAAATTTGATTTATGTAATTGTTCCCTTAATTGCAACGTATGTCTGATGTTATTTGATTAATTTAAACATTTATATGGGATAATAAAGACATTATTTTATGTTAAAATTATATGTTTTAATTTCAAACTTATTTGTTACATTTTGTTTAGTTATTTACGTAATATGCTCTTTGTAATTTTATATAACTTTTCAACTCACATTGTGTCTAAGCACGTTTAGACAAACTTAATATTCTCTTCCTTAATTTTAGTTGAAACATTTTCTACACAAGGGAAATTTTAAGTTAGTTACGTCTTATATGGGAAGTTCTTTTAACGTATAATGAATTTCGTAACAGATATTAGAAACGCCTTGACTTGCTGATATATAAATTCTTAAAAAAAATTAAAAATATGAAGGTTTTTAAAGTATAAATTTTAATGTGTCTTTGTTGCAAACGTTCATATAAATTAAACTTATAAATAAATTAAAATGAACAAATTTAAACCAGTGCTCAATAACAGATAGGGATAAGAAAAAGTTTGATGCGGCTTACACTATAGCATGTTTTTATATATAACATAAAAAAGGGAGCAGGACTCATCAACATAATATATGCATTATGCATCAAGTAGCCCTGTCCAACCATTAATGAAATTAGATGACGTTAACTTCAAAATTCTACAGCATTAATGTCGCTGAGTGAATCCGCAAACTGAGAACTAAAAGTGGCTTTGATCATTTTAGTAAAGGGTACTCATCTCTATTTAACTTTCCACTGAATTCATATAACTTACAAGAGAAATGTAAAATTTTTGTCTAACCTAATTAATTCAGTATCGCTACACTTGAAAATTATAAGAATATTTTTTATTAATGTTCGTTTTTTAAGGTTTTTTTTTAAGCAGCACGTATACGGTTTCATACGATTATACCGATTGAGTCCACTTGTCCTCTAACCCTGAACTGGCACACGGGTCAGGCGTCGTGTTACAGAGAAGCGTTTATAATTGGATACAGCAGTCAATTCCAAACCATAATGACGTTACGAGTATCACACTCAGCTAACCTGAGACTTAACCAGACAAACGCACTCAGCTAATAGCAGACTAATCTTTGTTATATGTAAAGAACAGATAAAACTATTTATAACAATTGGATATCAATATAGGTGACCACTAAATTAACTTTAATTATATTGACATAATCCTTTTCTTTGTACGAAATTATTATGTATGTATATCCTAGTTATTAGTGGATGTGATTCCATCATGCTTCATTTTAAGGGAAGAATTTATGTTGTTTGGTAGGATCGTTTGAGTCTTCCTGTCTACGAGTCACGTTGAAATGTTTTATCCTGTTTTTTATAAGCATAAGCTATAACAAAAAGTAGCATACAAATAAAAATATTGAACCAAATTTGGAATTAATGTCTATAAGCAAGTTTCTTTCATATATTATAATTATTATGTTCTTAGTATGACCGTAAAGCCATATAAAAGAACTAATACATCATAAACGAAACATAAGTAACAGCGACCATAAAACGAGTGATTACGCAGTTAGTAATTTTAGGACATTTTTATTGTCGTATATTTATTACAGAATTAATGGTATATCATAAAGATATACAGAAATGACAACACTTTTGGGAACATACATATAAAACTTTACGTTGACACAGACAGCGACATAATGATGCAATATTTTCCAACAAAACATACAACCACTATAATGTAGAAGTATTTATATGTCATTTGCCAAAATACCGCATGTGTT